GGGCCTGGGACCAGAGGGACGGTAGGGCCACCTCATTCATGACTGTGGGAAGCAGAGGCACTGCGGCCTTGCTGAGCCCCTTTCTTGGTTAAAAAATGTATTTTACAGCCTGTTGGTATAATTATGAATATATTAATGTATACTAGAGGATTTTTTCTTTTTCTTTTTTTTTTTTCTGAGACAGAGTCTCACCCTGTCACCAGGCTGGAGTGCAGTAGTGCGATCTCAGCTCACTGCAACCTCCACCTCCCTGGTTCAAGCAATTCTCCTGCCTCAGCCTCCCAAGTAGCTGGGATTACAGGCACACACCACCACGCCCAGCTAATTTTTGTATATTTTAGTAGAGACAGGGTTTCACCATTTTGGCCAGGATGGTCTCAATCTCCTGACCTCATGATCTGCCCGCCTCGGCCTCCCAAAGTGCTGGGATTGCAGTTTGAGCCACAATACCTGGCCCTGCTAGAGGATTTTCTTTCACCCAAAGGTTCATTTTTTTCCCTTCTGATTTTAAAAGAAATCAAAAATGTTTGTGTGCTCTTATAAATAGTCTGGGCCCAGGGCACTGTGCCTAATGGTAAGTTGGTCCAGGGGAAGAAAAAAAAAGGCAGTGAGGCCTCCCTAGAAGACCCCAGCATAGCTAGACCCCAAAACTGTTTGGTTCCACATTTGATTTGTTGTTATTTGTTTGTTTTTGAGATGACGTATCGCTCTGTCATCCAGGCTGGAGTATAGTGGCTCGATCTCGGCTCACTGCAACCTCTGCCTCCCAGGTTCAAGTAAGTGACCCTCCTGCCCCAGCCTCCCGAGTAGCTGGGACTATAGACACTCGCCACCACGCCCAGCTAATTTTTGTATTTTTAGTAGAAACAGGGTTTCACCATGTTAGGTAGTCTGGTCTTGAACCCCTAACCGCATGTGATCCTCCCACCTCGGCTTCCCAAAGTGCTGGGATTACAGGTGTGAGCCAATGTGCCCAGCCTGGTTCAATATTTGAGACTCTGTACTGAGACTCACACTGCCTGTGAGTGCAGGATTTGGGGTGGGCACCTGAGCCTTGAGTGTTCCTCCTCGAAAGGATTCTGAGGATGAAGATGGGAGAAACTCTTTTCAAATAGCATAGCTGATAAGGGTCTACTATCCAGAATATGTAAAGAAGCCTTAGAACTCAACAACAGGCCAGGCACGGTGGCTCATGCCTATAAT